GTCCACAGAGAATCCGTACTATCAGTTCTATTCCACTGAAGAGGCGATCCAATCATACGATGATAACAGCTATAAGACTGGTTCCTCTTTTTATATCAATGATAACTCAGCCTTTTCTCCAAGACATTCATCGGGAGAGTGGGTTCCCATCAAACAGAGCGCCACAGATATCAAAGACATTAAAGAATAGAGATTTTTATTATTTAATAATTTTATTATTTTTAAAAATAGACAATCGTTTTAATTATAAAACAGTTTTAAATCGTGTAAAATATATTATTTTATTTTTCGGTTATTATTATTAAATGGGAAAAACATAATGAAAGGATTGTTTGTCGCATAATATGTTTAAGTCAAACGTTTTGTAATTTTAATTTAAATCATATCTTCAATTATCATATCATTTGTTCAATTAGTTATGCCTTTTGAGAGATTATTAACGATTGAAACAAACTTTATTTAACTCTCTTTTCGCTTTAATTATCAATTTATTATTTTATTTAAAAAATATAATTTACTTTAATTTTAATTATAAATTTAGTAATGATTTCTTTACAATTATATGTACTAAATATTTATAGTTTTCATTATCTTTAATCAATTATAATTTTGAAATAAAAAAAATTACAAACATTTTAAAACACAACTCAAACATCTTTCAAAGTCTAAAACAAAACAATCAAAAATCATTAAAAATTTATTTAACGTGTGTTTTACACATTCAGTCGCTTATGATATCCAATGGTTATTTAAACGGGAGTTCTTTATATATCAAAACAATTATATTTATACAATAATTAACACAATCTTTTTTATTGCAATTCAATTTCTCTTAAATTCTTTAATTATAAATAACAAGACTTTAATCAACGAAAGGCTGGATATTGAGAGGTGTGTCGAACATCACCTCCCGGTGCCAGACCTCAAAAGGTGGAGAGATTATAGGGATTGAGTGCGCGCTATAGTGTGTGTTGTGTCTCACAATTCCGATAATTAAGTGTTTTAATAAATAATTCAATTAACAGTCGACGTCTCGGCACAGATTTCAGTCGTATCGGTGCTGTAGTTCTTGTTATGTCTGGTCCCGCCTCGATGTCGGCCACGGTTTCGCACATTTCTTTGGCTCTTAACCGCGTTTTCGGTGTCCATTTGATTCTCGCCGTCGACGGCGTTCTCGTCTTGAGTGGCCCCAGAGGTCAGAACTGTCTGCCCGGTGGGCATCGACTGTCGCAGCATTTTTTTCGTTTTGGACTTATTTATGTTGATATTGGGCGGAACGCCAGTCAATAATTTGGAAATATGACCGACAGCTTTGGTTCGGCCCTCTCTGAACACCATACGAGTGCCGACGTGTAAGTACTCGGGATTCTTAATGAACCGGAAGTGAACGATAGCTTTATCACCGGTTCGCAGACACTGTCTGGACATCGATAGTATGGACGCCGTCTGACGAATGCTTCCGCAATGGACTGCAATTCACACCAAAGAGAAAACCAAACAATTATTAAATAACACTTAAAATAGACATTTATTTTAAATGTTTACCCATTGCTTGATATCGTGCACTAATGGTCGTCGGGTGGTGTAAGACCAGTATCTCTCCCTCAAACTCCCAATAGGCCTGAGGGTTGAGTGTTGGCGACAACATTACCATACCTTTCCTTATATCAGATCTTTTCATCTAATTTTATAACAATATTTAGAAATAAAACTAATGATTGAAAATTGAAAACTAATGCCAAAAATTATACTTTTTTAAGCGCAAAAGAGGCCGTCTGTCCGCTTCTGACTTCTTTGACAGGCATTCGCTTTCGATGTATGGATTTGATAGCAATGGGCGAGAAGTGACCCAAAGAGTCGGGTCCGAGATATAAGACATCATTGAGTCGAACCACTCCTTTGAGGGTAAGACCCGATACGACAGTTCCGACGCCCTTAAAGACAAAGTGAAAGCATAAAACATTTGCCAAATGAGTGGAAACGTGTGCACAAAATACCGGCACAGAATAGGTGTCGTCGATCTGGAACTCTGCGGCCTCTTTGTCGTGATTGGCCGTCCGAGGGGTCAAAAGATTAAGGAATATCCGCAAGAGATTCAGATTATCTCCGCTAACGTTCGACACCTGGAATATAGGACAGAGCCGTTCGGTGGCGAAATTGGTGGCCGCTATCACCACATCGTCTTCGCTCTGAACCATAACCGGAATCTTTCGACATCCGGCAGATTTCAGTACCCTTTGCAACAGTTTCAGCGTATTTTGCAACACATTGTGCGGACACATATCGATTTTGGTCACCACTACAAACACCGGGACATTCAGTGCCAGCGCTAAACCCAAATGCTTTACAAAATAGTGTTTACAACATTTATCAGTCAATTGATTTCAATGGCTTTTAGATGTTAACGTCAAACCTCTTTAGTCATGCCAACGACACCGGCATTGGCGCCCACCATAAGCATAGTATAATCGGGTGCGTGTCCTGTCATTCCTGTCCACAAATCATTAGTTTATTAATATATTTATTAATTATTAATCTAATAATTGTTAACAAATATTGAAAGCAATTGTTACCAAAAATAGTGGTCTTCAGATATCTCTCATGTCCGGCCAAATCGATGAATGTAATCACTTTAGAGGACGCCTCACATATCTTTACCCAATCGAGATGTCCTCCGTGTGCGTCCGGTTTGTTCACAACACTTCCCTTACTATCAAAACCCAGTATATCGTTACCGACACTCGATGTCCGGCCTATAAATTCATTATAGATATTGTAATAAAACTCAATTTGCTTTGGATTTTGTCCACTATTATTGCTATTATCTCTGTTTAAAGTTTAATCTTTGAACTATATATTCCTCTTATTTATAGATTAATGTAAAAATATATAATAAGACAATTGGTGTCCAATGTATGCAAACCTGATTCCATTTCGTGTTTATGTCTGAAGAGTCTCTGTCGGGCGAGTCCGCGGCCGTTGTCGAGTTCGCCGTGTGTTAAGACACCCAATAGTGTACTTTTGCCGGCGTCCACATTACCCACGACAGCCACTCTCACCTCTTGGAAATCATTGCTTTTGGCGCGTTTGCGGACCAAATACTCGGCCACTTGACCCACACCGGAGTCGCCGCGCCGTCGCCTCAATACTATACAATCGGAGTCTATCTTATCGGCCAATCGGTGCAGATTCGCCACCGAAGCGTTCAACTCATCCTCAGATAGACCACTCTCTCCAGACTCTGATAAACACATGGAGACAACAATTAAAACACACTCTATTTGACTCATCAATTCATTATCTCATTACCAGAACATCCAACGAGATAAATGGTTTCTCCCGATTCTTCCAATCGATTCACTAAATGAGTGGTCAATTGGATCGCCTCTTCGTCGGTCGGATTCACTAAACATTTCTGTAAAATTTGTGTCCAATAAGTGTTCAAATGTGTGATAACTAGACTCATGTCTTAAACAGTGTGTATACCCTTTGAAAGTGAATTAACGATTGACCGCCGCTGTTGGCCACCAATTGTCTCAGCGATGGCTCAACAGCTGATCCATTGGCGCGCTTCACGAACAGCTCGGATATCATGTTCTGGTCGTTAATGATAGGCATCTGATTCACGTCCGCAGACATTGTCTATATAAATGTGGTGCTTATAGATCACCAGCTGATCCGATACTAACGGTTAATCTTACGGTTAACTATCTCTCACTGTATGCGATATGTATGACACGAATGACACCAAAAAACCCAAACTCTGGACTATTTATAAACACTAATCGCTTATAACGTAAGCATTGCGTTGAGAGAGGAGAGGATGTCTTCAGCCAAACGACTGATGCAATGGTTGAGTATTTTTAGCTCATATGAGACGTGAAGAGCAGTAGACGTGGATCTCGTAATCGCAACCAATCTTACGATTCAAACACATATTATTGCGAATACAATACACATCTACTCTAACATTGTGTTACACTTATAGATAGCGCTTATATTCCCGCTATTGTTGGCAATATTCCCAGCCTTTGCTCCCAGTGTTAGCGCATTGCACGCGATGTACAGGTAATGGGAATATAGAGCGGGGAATATATGCCGGAAATGTATTATACAATCAGATGTGGTCTACGATTACAGTTACGCTTTGACAGCGCTTTCGCTGCCATCTGTTGTCCACTGACTCTCGCATTCAAAACACGTGTATTTCATATGACTTTTAAATGCGTGAAAACATTGGATTTGTTTTATTGAAAAGTTTTATTTGAGTTTAATTTACATTTAATTGCGATTAAAAATAATGAGTGATTTGTTTAACAAGTATTTCAAATGCATTAAATCTCTTGTGGCGGACGTCAGCGATGGAAACGCCGGCCAATCGGCGCCCGAATCGCTGGATTCAGTGGCCGAAGAGTTGGTCTCCGCCATCAGTGGCAAGAAATTGGTGACAATCATCAGTGACAACGATTTGTGGACCAAATTCTTGCGCAAGACATTGAAGACGGCGTTGAGTGAGGGATCAGATGAGACGACTGGCGCTAAACTGTTGGCAGTAATCCATGAGTTGATCGCAAAATTGCCGACAAATGGCAAGACATCACTCGAGACCACTCTAGACATGATATGCGGTCACTCGCTGTTCAAAGACATACTCATTGATTACAAGTACATCGACTCTCACCTCAAGTATCAATTGGTGTCAATCCTGTGTGAGATCTACGACAAGGACTTGAAACTAATCAATGATCGGATGAACAGCAATAGGGATACGATTGCATTGATTTTAAGCTCATATAACTTATCGCTCAATAAATGCGATCAAAAACTTCTCAAACTCTTGTGTCATATGGAGACCAATGGACACAATCTCCACAAATATCAGCCATTCCTCTGGGGAATGAATGGTGCGATTCATTACTCGATCAAAAGCATGCAAAAGGAAGCGCTTCTTAAAGAGCCAAAGATGGAGCAAATCTTGTCGTCGATTAACGAAAACCAATTGAAATACACTTTAAATAACTTTCCCATTGATTTGCCACTGAATCCCATTGAAGTGATTGATGCCAGTGATAGTCATTATTTAACTGATCCGCGATTCCTGTTACCACTTCTATACAATTTGTTGTCCAACCAATCGGTGGTTAAATGCCATAAATTTGTATCATTTGGATGCATGTCGTACGCCATCGCCGGCCTATCCAGTCGTGACCAAGACATGCGATCTCTGGCCTATAGTGTGCTGAATCGGTTCCATTCGCACCTCGAAGTCGCCTCTTTCCCAAAAGATCGCTTCCTATGGATTGCGATCATTGATTGCATCAGAAGTGGTATCACTGAAGACAACGTTCGCATTCCGAGTCTAATCACTGTCTTTATGGTCAGAATAATTGCTGTATTATTACATCCGAACGATAAGCTGTTCAATAGTGTCCGCAATTTTCTGGTCAATCGGCCGACCATTCAGTTGAATGTTTTGCCAGATTTCTATCAAAACATCTATTCATCGGATATCGAGACACATAAACGTCTTCAACGGTTTGTCATCTCTTGGATATGCGATGGACTGCGAAGTGAAGAAGATATCAAACTGTGTTTAAAGCGTAATGTCTTCCGAGAGTTAATGGTTTTGTTTGACTCGTGTCTCACAGAAGCCGAGAATCAGATCTTAATATTGATGGCATTGCGGCGGACGTGCCGTCACTATAAGGGCGTCAAAGTGTTGTGCACTGAAAACGCATTCTTCTGTTGGTTAAGACAAAGTCTCTTCAATTTGAACGTCGAGTCCAGCGATTGTCAATTCCTTGCGGACGAGATCTTTGCCATTCTTGACACCATTTGGCGGACAATCAATGGCTATAATTGCTCGCAAGACAGTCACCAACTATTGTATCCATCATTTTATTACGAATTGATTGATACCTTAAGAACAGTTGCGGAGATTAAACCACAAAGTGATGAGAAAATTGTTAAATATCTGCAAATATGCGATGAAGTGATTGCGATGTCAAACGATAGGCAACTTTTCTCACATATTATCCATAGTTTTCCCAAAAAAGTTGCGCCAATTGTTGACACACTTAATGATATGATAATTAAAAGTGAGATTATTTGCGAATAAAATATTTAAAACTTTATTAATGTGTTACAGTATCAGTTTATTTGGGGTTAAATAAAAAATTATATTTATTTGATTGAACATGATAAGAACTAATTACTGTACTTTATTCATTGAAATACGTTATTCAAACGACATTGTGCAAAATATTGACTAATTTAAATGTGTAATCATTTGTGAATTTATTAGCAATTAAATAATAAATATTAACATTTTATATTTTGATGTACAATATAAAGTTAAAAATTATATGAAGTTAAAAATTATTTTATAGACTCGTTATTAAGCAGACTTTTAATTAAGCTTGTAATAATGTAAACATTATACATGTATAATAGGGGGAAAACAAGGTTTTCAAGCAGTGCTATAAATTAATACCAACTCAGGTGAAGGAACATAGAAATTAAATATTACTATTTAGAAATGTGCTCAAATTATATTTGTGCAAATTCTCATAATTCTCAAATTATTCTTACTGTTCATATAAATACCAATCCATAGAATGGCATTGAATTGCTATAAGCCTTGGATTGTATTATTCAATGTAAAATCACTATTTGATTATCTTTTAAAATATCTGTTCAAAGTGTAAAACAGTTGAACCTCTCATTCAAAGTGAGTGACAGAGGAATAGGTATTCATATAGGGAGAGGTGTAGGGAATGGTATAATAGAGAAGTTCATTTTGAGTACTTTTACTACATTTTGAGTACATTATACAAAACAGTATCCACTTTCCCCATTCTAGTTGTCATTTATCATCATTATTATTGCTTTCAATTCAGTGACTATTCAACTAAAATACATTATAATTAATTGTTAATAATTAAATTAATTAAAAATATAGTTTGAAAATCCTTATTTTAACATATTTGATAAGTGTTGACAACATAGAAATCCGACTGTACTGTACTTGTATAGCACATTTGGTGAAGTACTTTTGAGTGCAACTTTACAAATTTATCATCATTTTATTAAATTAAAATTTTCATAAACAACCTTTGATTTCTATAAAATTATATAAAATCATCATTTATTCTATATTTAAAGTACATTCAAACAGTTATTCAATAAATATTTCCTTTAAATTGAAATATATTTCAGAGCTATTATTAATATTAATAGTTATTATTATTATATTAATCGACAATATATTTGACGGAAAGATGTGTTCATTAATGCCAACAGTTTTACGAATAAATTTCATACAAAGTCAAAAGTGTTTGACATATAATATAGCAAAGCGTTTGAATAGTAGCCAAACGTCGGGTGGATTTAACTTTACGCTCACTTCAGAGCAGAAATCACTCGAAGATTTGGCAGAAAAGTTTGCCAAAGAAGAGATCATTCCAGTGGCCGCTCATTACGACCAGACGGGAGACTTTCCATGGGATTTGGTTAAGAAAGCCCAAGCATTAGGGCTCAGAAATTTGGGCGTCCCTACAGAGTATGGGGGCGGAGGGCTATCACTCTTTGACAATTGCCTTATAAGTATGTTTGAGTAAAACAAGTTGATTATATAAAAGTTGCTATATTAATTTAATTAATAATATTTTTAAATATATGGTGTTTTTAAAATGTTGAAAATTAATTATAATGTTTGGCTTTTAAGGTGAGAAACTTGGTTATGGATGCACTGGTATTATGTCTGCGATCAACTCAACCGGGTTAGCTCAGGCACCGGTTCAGCTCTTTGGAAATGATGACCAGAAAAAGCGATTTTTGGGTCGAATGACGGGTTCGGAGGCGTTGTGTGCGGCCTATTGTACGACAGAGCCCGGAGCCGGCAGTGATGTCGCCGGCATTCAGTCGAAGGCCGTCCGCAATAAAGACGGCGATTACGTACTGAACGTGGTCGAATGACGGGTTCGGAGGCGTTGTGTGCGGCCTATTGTACGACAGAGCCCGGAGCCGGCAGTGATGTCGCCGGCATTCAGTCGAAGGCCGTCCGCAATAAAGACGGCGATTACGTACTGAACGGCCAGAAGATGTGGATCACTAACGGAGGGGTCGCCAACTGGTACTTCGTGTTGGCGCGAACCGATCCCAACCCAAAAACGCCGGCCGGCAAAGCGTTCACCGGTTTCCTAGTAGAGGCTGACAGTCCGGGCGTAACTCCCGGTCGGAAAGAGGATATGTTGGGTCAGAGGGCGTCCGACACGCGAGGCGTGAGCTTTGAGAATGTGATCGTTCCCAAGAAGAACGTGTTGGGCGAAGAGGGAAAGGGTTTTCGTATAGCGATGGGCGCTTTCGATCTGACCCGAGCGCCGGTGGGTTGCGGTGCCGTCGCTGTGGCGCAGAGGGCTTTCGATGAGGCGACCAAATGGAGTTTCGAGAGACACACGTTCGGTGTGCCCATCCATCAGCACCAGGCCGTGCAGTTCATGTTAGCCGATATGGCCATCGGTATCGAAACGGCCAGAATGGCAGTGCAGAGGGCGTGTTGGGACTACGACGAGGGCCGTAAGAACACCTACTGGGCCTCCATAGCCAAGTGCTGGGCCGGCGATGTGGCCAACAAGACAGCGGCCGATGCCGTCCAGATCTTCGGCGGCGCCGGTTTTAATAAGGAAATAGGGCAGCTCTTCAACTACTCTCTGCGCTTCTATATGGTCTATATGCTCCCTTGGCGAGTTTATGTCGCCGAATAGTAACGGTCTCTTTATGATAGCGTCCGGTTTGTTTGGAACATTAACAAAACATCATGTTTATCATATATTTACACTATGTTATCATCATTTACTTATATTTCCCAACATTAACTCTGCATATATTCTCTACAAAAATTATCCAGCACCAATTTATTAAAATTAATTATTGTCTTTAAAATGTAATTTTATTAAGTTTTCTATTAATATTATAATTATTAATAATATTTATATTAAATTCTATTAATAAAGTATTGATTGGAAAAATAAATCAAATTGCAAATACAATATTAATTTCTAATTAAATGATAACTAAATTAGTATTAATGGGAATAAAGTGAATATTAAAGAGTAATTGAATCCATCAGTTATGAGTACGTCTCAGAGTGTTTATCCAATCGAGATCGTCGTCGGTCAACTCAATTGACATAAAGTCATCCCACGTCACTGACAGTGGGTTCAGTGGTTTCTCGTCAACACATTTGGCACACCTTTTGGCCAACTTTTCGATCATCTCTTCCTTCTCTTTGACGACGGCTTCAAACCTATGCTTCCATTCGTTCCGGTCTTTCACTAAGTTTGCAGACATTTGGGCCAACTTTTCGCTCATCTCTTCCTTCTCTTTAACCACGGCTTCAAACTTACGCTTCCATTCGTTGCGGTCTTTCACCAATTCGTTGCCGTTATTCACTAACAGCTCAACACAGTTGTGCTGATCGGCGCTCTCACCCGCCGGCAGACCACACGCGCGGCACAACCGGTGCTCACAATTGATGTGATGCGCGGCCATTGACTTCAATTCAATCGTTTCCTTACATCCGTTCCACTCGTGTTGGCATTTGATCCGCAATCGACCGATAATAGCGTTGAGACGACGACACGGATTGACTGAAAGCATGAGTCCTCCAGCGATGACCGCATTGCGAGCGCTTGCCGTACGCTTTCGGGTCGCAGTCTTTGTGGGCAACGGATCTCTACATTCAGGACATATGATATCAGATCCGGATGTGGACAGCAATCGGTGGACACAGTTGTAGCAGAAGGTGTGTCCGCATTGCGTGTCCACAGCGTTGTCGAAGACATTGAGACAAATACTACACTCGAGTTGATCTATAAAAACACCGATGATTTTGCCGTCAGCCGTGAGGTCAGCGAATCGGTCCGAAGAGAATGCCATTCAATCGGATCCAGTCTTCACTTCAAAGTCAGCGATAATTAAGAGTTTAATGAATCGATTGATGACTTGTTTTGCGGACAAGTGTTGAGTGAATGCAATCTAAAGTGCATTCAAACGCTTGAATACGCGCGCAGTTTGTGATTGTTATACAGTTTGCACTCATTTTTGATTGTGTTTCAAACACTGACGGGTAATGCATAATGAAATGGTAACACAAACTAATTTGCATATTTAATTATTGCCCGATACAAAAATTATCCAGCACCAATTTATTATAATTAGTTATTGTCCTAAAAATGTAATTTTATTAAGTTGTCTATTAATATACGGTAATAATTATTTATAATATTTATATTAAATTCTATTAATAAAGTATCCATTGGAAAAATAAATCAAAGTGCAAATACAGTATTAATTTCTAATTAAATTATAATAAAAGGTTTCATGGTGAATTGGGGCTAAAAATTAATTAAAACACATGAATATAATAAAAATTTGTAAAAAATACTCATGAATTCAATTATAATCTGAAAAAACAATACATTAAGAAATATAATAAAGTTTGTTATTTATCTAATATACTGTATAGCCAGCGATATGTACAGTATATTGTATAAGAATAGTCTTATTGTGTTTCTTCCCATTATTTTTATGGACTTCTGGTTTCAGACAAACGCATCTCTCTATTGGATTAAAAAAACATATGTTGGAAGCGATGTCTTGGAGGTCATCATTGGTGTGACGGTTGACACACTGGCACAAACTCACCACGACTTCAGGATATTCACTATTGTTCACTACTGAGACTCTTCAGTCTTAATTCATATCCATTGTCATCACTCATTGTGTTTCATCGGATCCATTACTTCTCGTAACAACTTATCAAAAACAACCAAAACATAAATTAGTTTTTGCAATCATTTTGATCCCACACTCAGTGCTGTCCACACAATATATGTTTCGCTAATATTTGATTAAGAATTTAATTTTTCATAAATTTATTTAATATTTATTTAATCGCTTTTTATTAAATACTCTTAAAGGGAATGTTTGATTGATACAAAAGTATTTTATAATTTCCTATTAAACTCATGGATTTATCGGTAATAAAATGTTCAAAAGTTGTGTACAAATTAATTTTCGAAATAATTTATTTTTAAATATTAGATTCAAAAACTGATTTTCTACTTATTTCTCACATCATTCCTATCGCAAGACATAAATTGCAATTCTGTGTCAGAATTGGCGACAAACACAAGCTCTGAGTCCACGGATTATAACAATATCGAGAAAATTGATTTAAGCGAACCCTTCGA